GTGAAAGGGGGGCCATGGGGGAAGGGGGTGTGTGGAGGGGGCATGGAGCTCAGAGGGGACCTGACCTGCAGCAGGAGGGAGGAGAAGCAGGACCTCCCAGTGATGATGTGCGAGCGCAAGGATGTGACTTTAGTTGCTCCGCAAGCAGAAGGAGGCAGAGGGCTTAAGTGCGAGGGGCAGGGTGGGCGGCAGTATGGCCACACTCGAGGTGGAGAAGGGGTTGTGGAGGGAGGTAGCTGTGGGGCTGGAGTGAGGTGTCCAGGAGGCACCTGGATGGATGGAGGGCGGGGCCCCGAGAAGAACAGGTTTGGGCGGGAAGTTTGGCTTCGGAAGTGTTGTGCGTTGGGATGGGGGTTCCAGATCATGAACACGATTTGAGAAGGTGCCTATGGAGCCAGGGGGAGTGTGTGGAGTCGGGGATGGGAGAATAGGCATGAAGCCCAGAGCATCCCATCACTGCTCACCCCTCCCAAGTGCAGGCATCATTCCCAGGGTGCGGGTGGGAGGCTGGGCTCCCCCTGCACCTGGCTGGGACAAGGGCTCAGGCAGGCTCTGTGGAGCCCCCGCCCGGCGTGCAGTGTGGCCTGCAGGGGTGGGGTTCAGGAGAAGGCGCTGGGCTGGAGCCTACGTTTAACCGTATGGAGGACCGGTGGGCAAAGGGGCCTAGAGGGGCAGGACGCTGGTGCAAAGGTGCCCAGCAGCTGGGCAGGGAAGGGCGCGGTCAGCCCTTGATCAGGTAAGCAAACAGACGTGGTCATCAGCTTGTGGGGAGGAGGGAGCACCCAGGGTGTGTGTGGAGGCGAGGGGGGACTATGACGAGTAGTGCTGAAGGGAGTGACGGCAGACCACCCTGGTGACAGCAAGGGGCTGGAGGGAGCTCAGGCAGGAGAGGGTGAGAAGACATGAGGGCACCCGCGGACTGGGGTGGGACCTCAGAGTTGATTTCTTCCCTCTGCTCAGGGCCGGGGGCCGGTTTCGGCAAGTGAGAGTGTTCGCCAGCGAGCTAGGAAGGGCAGGGACCTCAGGCGCACGGCCAGGAAGGTGAAGGCAGAGCGGCCTCAGAGGAGGACCCTCCCCACACCCCGCCCCCGCACGGTCATCACCCGGTAGAGCTGGCTCCCGGGGCAAGGCGGTCGAGGGGCCTGGGAACCCTGGCCCTAAGAAATGAAGAATGCTAACCGAGTTTCACCAAGTGTGGTATATGTTGATTTCATTTAATATATTAATGCTTTTGAATAAGTGTTCCTCTTAACCGGTACTTCTCCAGCCTGGTTTGTGCACATTGAGCAATTACTGGGGGAAGGGGGGCTGCTACCTCCAGAGCCTCTCAGCCCTCCAGACCTTCCTCCACCGCGTGAGCAGTGACTGAAGGCTGGGCGGCGAAGGCCTCTGAGGAAAGCCCATATGGGGGGCCCGGCCAGGGACACGCGACCGATTCCCCGCTGGCCCCGTGGGTGACCGGCGGCTCTCTTCCCTCTCCCCCCTCCACAGCCCGACAGGCTCCGGGTGAGGGGAATTGAGAGTGTATGGCCCCGGGGGGGTACCGACGGCCTTTGATATCCACCAGGTTGGGTGGGCTTGGAGGAGCCCCCATCGCATGGAGGAGCCTCCAGCGCACAGACTCCCCGCCAGCGGCGGGTTGGGGGAGGCGTAGGTGCGCACCGGGACCCCGCGCACCCCGAGGTACGCTCAGGGCAGCTCCTGCGGGCTCCGGAGGCTCTTCCTCGCCGCGGCCATCGTCGGGGAGCACAGACGCGATCCGTTAAGGGTCAGGGGATCGAGGTCCTAGGAAGGCACCGCCCAGCACAGGCTAGGGGCGGCAACCAGGCAGGAAGGAGCCGAGAGAAGCCAGCGATGGGGGGTGGAGCGAGGGAGAGGAGGGAATGGGGCGCCCACCACGCTAGGCCCTGTTGTCTGTGTTGTCGTCACTCCTGGGCGACTGCGATTTTGCCGTCCGCGTTCCCCTGGCCAGCGACGCCCCCGGAACGTGGACGCAGAAGAGTTCAGACTGAAGCAGCCGCTGGGGTGGACTGGGATGGGGGAACGCACGTGGTCTGTCTCCCACAAGGAGCTTCTGCTAGTGTGGCATGGTGGGGATGCGCAGGGCGCCCGAAACCTCGGAAGCGGCCTCGTGGCCAAAGCAGAGGTCACGGGCCCGCGGCGGAGGGCGGTAGCTCCGTGCATCCTTACCCTGGGGGAGCCCTCCGTGCCTTAGGCGAGCAGCCCGTCCTCCCTGCCGCGCAGGCGTGGCGATCCGGAGGCGGTCCCACTAGCACCGAGTCAGCCCCTGCGGAGTGCCCGGGCCTGACCCGGCCCGGGCTAGGGCGGCGCGAGTCGGCGCCGAGGAGGGGCCAGCCGGAGCCACAGGGGTCCTTTCCTCCCTCCCTCCCCCGCCAGACAGCCGGCGAGCAGACAGAGCGCGTTGCTTGCCCAGTCTTCTCCTTCGTCAGCGGGGCGCCTCTTCCAAACTGAAACCTCTGTCATCACCCCCCAGCCGCCCTGCACCCCTAACTCGGGGGCTGGAGAAGCAGAACCTCCTGCCCTCATGCCTCAGCGCCCCTCTTGGCAAGGGGGGGCTGGGCCCGCAGGGTGGGAGGCAGCCACTCCCCTCCTTCCTTAAGGCGAGGGTAGCTAAAAGGATGCAACCGGTCCCCAAACCGTCGGCGGGCTGGGCTGCAGCCCCGCCCTCCCCCAGACATCTTGGAGCCGAGGGAGGTGTGAATGGCCTCCTTTGTGCTTCTCAATGAAGGCAATTAGGCGCTACTTATCTGGGGGATTTGCAGCCTCCTATGCAAACCGGCGCTTCTCCCCCCACCCCCACCCCCACCCTGTTTATAAACTCAGTCTGGCCGTCCTCAGCCCCAAGCGGATCCTGTTCGGAGCCCGGCAAAGGGGTCCAAGCTTCCTCGGGTTTTCTGCGTGTCTCCCCTGACCCGTCCCGCCCACAGTGGATCCTGTGCCCAGCCTGGCCCACCATCCAGCTCCCTTCGGATCCTCTGCGTGGACCCCTGGCCCTGGGGGGATCTTCTTCGTGCCCCCCTGGGCTGTCTGGCCCTCTGTGGGTGTTATGCGTGGCCCCCTGGCCTTCAGGGCACCCTCTGCGTAGCCCCCGGCCCGTCCAGTCCTCGAGGAATCCTCCACACGACCAGCCATGCCTCCCTCCTCCGACCTGCCCAGGGGCCACAAGCCGAACTCCAGCTTCTTCTCCGTGGACTGGCTTGCCCAGAGCAGCCACCTGGGGCCGACGCACACCTCCAGGCCCAGCGAGGTCTTCTGGAGGGGTCTGAGTGCCCCCGCCTGGGCGCCCAGCAGAGGGGAGCCCTCTCAGAACGTGGCCATCGATGGGGCTAAGACCCCAAATCTACACGTGCAAGGGGCGCTTGTGGCTGGTAGGTCTAGAAGGGGAAGGTCCTTCCCAGGTCGGGGTGGGAGTTGGGGAGGTTCTTGCAAGGCACCCACACACCCTGACCACTCGGGCGGTTCTCACAGGGCTGTAGTGAGGTCCCCTTGGGAGGGAGCGCTTCCCCTCTGAGGGAAGCTGCCTGCAGGCTCCCCTTCCCCACCCACCTTGACCGTGCCAGCCCTGCCCTGCCTCGCCCCTCTGCCAGCCACAGCGTCTTCCCAGTTCCCAGCTGTGTCCAGCGCAGGCCTGCTGCCCACGGGCACTCCAGTGACTTGTCACCGTCACAGTACCCCACCCTGCACCCAGAGGGCAGCCCGTCTCTGCGTTCTCCTTGTCACTCGCCGTGGCTCCGGTGTCTTTGTGGGTGTGGTCTTCAAGCTCCACATTGAGCCCTTGAGACCCAGGTCACCAGGAAAGGCAGTCGCTTCTCAAGCCGTGAGAACCGGCCTAGTGGCAGAGAGGTTATCACTGACCCCACAGTGAGAGGGGCCTTCACTTGGCCCCAAACCTGTGCCCATTCTCAGCCAACCTGGAATCTTGTCATTTTAAGAAAGCCCCGTGTGTGTGATTGAAGTGGCCGCTGGGCCTGGGCTGCATCCAGAGACACCACCTTTGCATTTCTGCCCCTGTGGGTCTCTTGGGAGTCTGACCAGTGGCTCAGAGTAATCCTTATCTAACCCTTTGTTGTGTGCTGACAAGATTTTTTCCTCAGTTTGTTTTCTAATTCATTGTAATTTAATCCATTGTTTTAGGTTTAAAGTCTTACTTGGTCAACAGTGGGATTGATATCTATGACTTTTAATTTTTAAAAAGTTTGAGTGATTCATTGGAATAATTTCATACTTGGGTGAAGTGAAATATTTAATTTATTCTCCTAAACCAGTAACCTTCCCCCCACCACAAAAAGCTAGCCAGTCATCATTGTCATGATCCTTCACGATAACTGGTTTTACTGCCTGCTGTCTGTCCCTCTCCACTCCAGAAAAATCAGGCAGGAATAGCCAATGCTTTTTGCTTTCAGAGCAGTGTCAAATCTGCTCCTCCCAGAACAACCGATGGACATGTTGATCAGACTTGCACTGCGTGCTGACCACGTGGGTACTCTGCACCCCATCTTCCTTCCTGTAACTGCGCAGGACCACTCGTGGGGTGCTTAGGGCTGGCCCTACCTCTTAATTTTAGAACTTAGGAAACCAAGGCTTGCAATCAGCTAGAAGGTGGCAGGTCCAGGCTTAATGGGCGCCTGCCTTGGCTCCTGACTAAATCCAAATGTGAACAAGCCGATGAGAAAGGTTGGGCCCCGCCCTCCTTGGCTCTCTGGGTCCCCCAGGCCTTTGCACATAGTGGACACTCCCCAGAAAGCCCCTCCTGCCACCCTACCTCTCCTCATCTGGTGAATTTGCTCCTTGGCTGCAGGTAAAAGAAATTGCTTTCTGGAGGGATGTGGGTGAGGGTGGCTCTGGGAGCTGGGGCACTCGCTGGCGGAACCTCACCAAGACTGCCTGTCTCAGCCCAAACTACTCTAATCTGTTTGTCGCCTTCCTCCGATACACACGCCCTGAGCATCCTCTGGACCCCTTCCACCCCTGAGCTGAGGGGAGGGGAGCTGTAACCTCCAAGACTGAGCAGGAGACTGGGGTGGTGGAGTGAGGGGAGAAATAGGAGCTGTTCCTGCTTCAGGGACACCAGGGCTGCCTATCCACAGATGGCCGCTGGGTCTGCTGCCCAAGTAGCCCTGAAGCTCCGGGCGCCTTTCACATGGGGGGAGCATGTCCCAGGTGGGCAGACTCTCACCTGTCTTCCTTCAGGGCTGAGCAAGGAGCCAGACCCCTCGCGGGCTCCCCGGGTGCGCACTGCCTTCACGACAGCTCAGATCAGCACCCTGGAGAGCGCCTTCAAGCTTCGCCAGTACCTGGGCCCCCAGGAGCGGAAGAAGCTGGCCAAAGAGATGCAGCTGACGGAAGTGCAGGTGAGTTGGCCCCCAGGGGAGGGGGTGTGCTGGGTGGATGGGGGTGGTCTGTTCTCACTTCTGCCTGGTTTGTTTCCCACAGATAAAAACCTGGTTTCAGAATCGCCGAATGAAACACAAACGCCAAATGCAGGACTCACAACTCAGTGTCCCCTTCTCCAGACCCCTCTACACGCCCCTGGCCATCTATCCGCCATCTCCAGTCCTGGGTAGCAGCCTGCAGCTCCTCTGCCCCGGGGCACACTTGCCTTCGCCCCCGGCTCTGGTGCTACCTCCGGGCTCCTTCTGGGATCCCTGCCCAGTGGAGCAGGTTGCACTGGCCTCTGCGTGGGATCCCTGCCATGGACAGCCTCTGATACGCTACCTTCCAGAGCCTGGGGGCCCTGGGGCCTGTGTGCTCTGCCCGAAACCAGGGATGCCTTTTGAGGGGCAAGGCAGTCCAGAAAGGGGAAGCTGCCACCCACGCCCAGGGTCTGCTATTGCCCTGGAGAGATGCTAGCGGTGCATGTCATCAAGGCCGCGTCTTGCACGGGGAGCGTTGCATGTGCGTGATAACCCGTGGCGGCTACCCTACCCTGACCACCTCAAGACTCTGTAGAGTTTTATGGCTGGAGATGTTTTAATGTCACCGCTTCACTGAAAACTACTGAAAGGAAGGGTCAGTTTAGGGAGTAAGCGATGGGTCAGGGAGCAGAATCAAAGGCCAAAATGGATGTGTTACATGTGGGGGCTTTAGCATATAGTAAAGGGATAATTTATTCAATAGAAGGTGTTGGAAAAAACTGGTTTTCCTATTGGGAAGAAGTGCAGGTCCTTATACTGCACGCAGATCAGCTTGGTCTGCAGAGACAAGCCCGTGAACTATAAGAAGGAAGGGAGGCTCTGCCGTCACAGCCTTGAGATTTGGGTGCCTTTGTAATGGAGCCACCACAGCTGGAAACCAGAAGAGAAAATAATGATCATTTGCCCACTGGAGAGTTAAGGCACAGGGTGGTGGTAGCATCTGCTGCTTGCCGTGGCAGCCTGTGTGTGCCAGGAGATGCCCATCCCTCTTCACAGCCCTTCTGTACATCCTGTTGATAAGGAAAAGGCTGGGGGAACTGGATCTGAGTTCAAGTCGTCTGATCTCGGGTGTGTTTCATCCTGAGTGTTTCCTCCTCCCTGCAGGGTGGGGCCCAAAGGCCCTCCTGAGAGGCCTCCACTCTACCGAGATGGGCAGACAGGAGTGGGAGCCTTCCTGCAGAAAATCCAGACGTGCTGAAGGGCAGGAGCATGGGACCCTTCCCTGAGAGACAGCCAGCATAGGCAGAGCCTGGCAGAACCTGCATCAGTGCAAACCAGAAATGAACACCGTGTCCACGTGGCACACTGAGGGAGTCTGCCCCAGTGAGCTCGGTGAGGGAGCCAGCAGGTGGCCTTGGCAAATGCCAGCAGGCAGCGGGTCCTCTTTGGCTTTCAGGAAAGCTGAGTACCATCTGTCACCGACTAGATGTCCCAACAAGAATAAAGGCATGATCGTTTCTTAAAGTTTATTTGCAGAAATACGTCCATCAGACTGTTAGCAGTCTTGTAATTGCTGAGACTTCTCATTGTTCGTGTGCGTCTTGTTTGAAGTGTTTATAATGAGCAGGTGCTTTTGTAATAAAATTCATGTAACGAGTGAATGGCTATTCATGCCGAGGAGATGTCCCTGTAGAGTTTCAGGGGGGCCTTCTGGGTCACTGGCTGAGCTTCTTGGGAGTAAGCTGGGTGTCCGCTGGGTTTGCAGATGTGCTCAGGGCCAGGGAGGCCGTTGGTCCACATCACTGGAGACAACTGCACACAGGCACAGGCCCCCAGTGGCTGGGTCACAGCTGAACTCTTTTCCATCCTGGGTTTTAATTCCTCCTTGGTTCCTGGCCACAGAAGCTGCACGGTATTTAAGGTTTCTCCCAGCTCAGGCCTGCGCTCTGGGCTTCTCTGACAGGCAGCTGCTGGGGCAGGAACTGGTCCGATGGGAGACATCTGGGCTTTGAGCAAGTGGGGGCGTTCTGTTCACACCTCCCCTCCCTTCCTGGGGAGCGCACTGGGAGCTGGGTAGGCACAGGTGTCTAGGGGGCAGGCCCTTTTCAGACTCCGTTTTTGGGGAGCCGACTGTCAGGCATTGAGAGCCCGCAGAGGGCCGGTCTCCGCTGGGATTGTTGAAAGCTGGTCTGCAATGTCCCACGTCACCTGTAGAATCCATGAGCCATTTAGCCAGCCAATCAGCCCGTCTCTCCCAGCCCCTCCCAGGCCACCCCAACACATCTCCCACAGACCCGACAGGAAAGGTCTTGCAGAGCAAATGCAGCCCCCCCATAGTTGCCACTGCAAATAGCACACCCCGTTTGAAGTGCTGCAACCCTGGGGGAAGGCCACTATGCCAGCCTCATCTTTACCTGCGGTGAGCCGTCGGGGGTGGGCTGTGGCATATGGTAAAGGGCTTGTCTCCTGCATTCCCAGGCTGGTGTTCTCGGGAGCAGAGTACTGGGCTGGGAACCCCCTGTTGTGCCTGGCACCGAGCTGGGGACCCCAAGCCACCCTTTTCCCGAACCAGCAAGATTCTCACCCCCAGCCCTGGAGTTATTTGCAAATAGCAAGGTGGCAGGTGAGGAGGAAATGCCCCAGTGCCCTAAGCTCCCTGGAGCACACCTGCTGATCATCCCTGCGCGCTCCCCCCCCCACCCCCACACCCACCTGCCCCATCCTTGTCCTCTTTCACTGCCTGCCCGGTCTTCTCAGCTGGGATTTCCCGGAAAGAGCTGATGTCTGGACCTTCATTTGGCCAGGCTGGACTCCACTCAATGACCCGGGGGTCTTGACGGTCACAGTCCCTGCCCGTCTGTTATGAATTGAATTGTTTCCCCCCAAAATATGTGTTGTAAATCCTAACCCCTAGAATTGAGTGGGCACACAACAACATACCTGTGGTTATAGTCCCATCTGGGAATGGGTTTTCTTTGTTATGTTAATGAGACAGTATTAGTGTAGGGTGTGTTTTGAGTCAGTCTCTTTTGAGATATAAAAGCAGATTAAGCAAGGAAGAAGTTAAGCAGAGATGGGGGAAGGTAGACGCCACACCACAGGAAAATCACCAAGGACCCAAGGAACAAGGACCTTCCCCCAGAGCCCACAGAGAGAGAAACCCTTCCCCTAGAGCTGGGGCCCTGAATTCAGATTTGCAGCCTCTTAAACTGTGAGAAAATAAATTTTTGCTGTTGAAGACACCCACATATGGTATTTCTGTTCCAGCAGCACTAGGGAAGTGAGATGCTGTCCTAAGGGACCATCACTGTCCTCCCTGCCCAGAGAACTTCCCATCTGACCCAGGCAGGGTCATCAAGAGCCCCACCCTGCAGCAGGGCAAGGGCACATGACCCAGCAAGGCCAGCTGAGGCCCCAGTGATCCTGGAGGGGGGCCCTGATGTGATGCTGGGGGATTGCTCTTTCCTCTGGGCCCAGGAGCTGTGCTTGCAGCCTGCTGGTGGCCACGTGGCCACAGGATAAGAGTGGAGGCCAAGCAGAACCTTTGGCACCCTGATCCATCCATGCCTGCAGTCCACCATCCTCCTCTGGTGCTTGTGACACGGGATATGGGTGTCTGAGAGTGACACCGCAGCTGAAAATCTGCACCCAGCACACTGTGATGGCGGCTTCATTTGCACTCATTAAAAACGGAACCTTTAAGTGTCTGGTGGGGAGGTTGTATATAGCACAGCAAGCCTGTACCCCCACCCCCACTCCCTCTGCAAGGATGAGGTGGGCTGTGTGCAGGGAGAGGTGTCCCACACGTGGTCCAGGACTCCTCCCACCTGGCAGCTCCCCAGCCCTGCCCTTCGGCCCGGCCCTTCTTCCACCCACCCCCTCCCACACGGAGGGAGGGCTCCTAGCCCTTTGAAGGAGCACTATCAGATGAGATTAAGGGAGAGGCAGGCCTGGCCTAGCTGGGCGGGCGGGCTGCTGATAAAGGGGCGCCTGTTGGCAAAGAGCTAATCGCTCCATTTGCTTCAAGGATGAGCGGATAAAGGCTCAGCAGCTTCCATGACAAGGCGCCCAACACGGACAGTGCCGATGGGCAGGCCCCAGGGACTGGGCTGGGCGGTGGGGGTGGGGTCTCATCTACTCTTCAGGCCTCTTTGTGCAAAGTAACAGCCCGGCAGCCATTGCCAAAGCCCGCTGGTTCAGGAGGGCTGGTTTCGCTGTTTTTCTACTCCTGCGAGTTGAAGATGCAGGTTCCAGGCACAAGCCAGCTCCCACCCTGACCCGTGGGCTAGGCGGAGCTGAAAGAGGCCAGGTTATTACCCAGGGGCCACAGTGCCAGGACAGACAGGCAGGGAGGCCAGGGCCGAGGGCACTCCTGGCAGGACAGACAGCAGCTCCTCACAGTCACCTAGAGCCTCCCCCAGCCCCTCCCCCCAAAACACTCAAGCCCTCTAGCTCAGCCCCTCCCAGGCACACCTCCTGGACTCCAGGGTGGTCCAGGACCCCAAGGTGCCCCTCCATCCCCCACCCCGTGTCCTCGTCCTCAGAAAGGGGTGGGGCACCTGCAGGCTATTTTATTCCCTTCGTGTGTATGAATCCTGAATTTAGTACCCCTCGGCCCGCTCTCCAAGGTGGTGTCCCCTTTTCAATGTCAAGGAGAGAAAATGGGCGGGGGGGGGGCCTCCTGTACACATTCATCATCAAGACATTATCACGTTGAGGAAGTTTAAACAAAATTAGCTTTATTGATACTTCTAATGAGAAAACCAATGCAGGTTCATAATTCTAAAATTACAGCCAATTGAGGAGAAATAAATGCTGTTGACAGCCACCGCTGTTGGCCAGCCTGCTTCTCCAGTCTCTGCGTACACAGACCCACGTCCACCCCGCGCACACCTGTAGGAAGACGGTCATACACACACAGTTTTGTTGCCTGGAAAGAAAATTTCCAGAGAAAAAGTCACCAGTCCTCCCGACCCACCCTGCCTGGCCCCGGCTGCCCCCTGGGGACATACTCCGGGGCTCTGACTGCCCCACCCCAGGCGGAGTCCAGAACCCAGGCATCTAGGTATGAACTCCGGTGGGATAGCCTGTTGCTTTTGCCGCGTTTTCTGTCCCCCACCAGTCCCCCACCCCGTTAGATTCATCCCAGAGCATCAGATGGCGTGGGTCCCCTCCTCTGCAGCCCACCGGCTTCCAGCAGGACAGATCAGCATTGTCCCCACACGCCCCTCTTGTCCTACAAGGTCGATTCCTTCGCATCCCAAAGGGAAGCCACGAAGCTCCTCGGCCAGCCCCGGGGAGGAGAGCGGAGGCGGGGCCAAGGCACAGAGGCCAGGACGCTGGAGCGGCTCCGCGGAGGCTCGGAGGAGGACCCCGTCGCCCCATTTTCCCATGCCCTATACCTCTTTAGGCCAGATCCTCAAAGAAGTATATGCATAGGAAAAAGGAACGACGAGCAGATTCTGCGAGAAGTCGGGCAGCCGCATCGCGGAGGGCGGAGGTGAGGCCGCTGCCGCCGGGGCCTGTGGATCCTGTGGATAGAGAAGGGATGGGGCGGGGGGCTGGGGGTGCCCGGCCACCCTGCTTGGCCGGGAAGCAGCCAGCCTCGCCTTACCGGGTGCAGCCTCAGCAGGTCCTCGGCGGCGGAGTCTCGGGCGCAGCGGAAGGAGCTCTCGCCTCCGCCGCGCTCTGCCTGTTGCCGGCCAGCGCGCGCCCCATTTATGCGCGGAGGAGACCTTGGCGGTCCCGCACGCGGCAGCGGTCACATGCGGTAATCGGCTGCCCTGTGCCAAGGGCCCCGTTCCACCCCCGCACCTGCGAGATTGGGGCACAAAGCCTGCTCAGACGAGGCACGCGGCGGGCGGGGCGGGGCGGGGCCGGGGGTGCCCAGGACCCTGGCGGGGCGGCCTGGCCAGTTGCCTCCACACACTTATCTTCGAAGCGCCTCTGCTTGCGTCAGAGACCAGGAACACGCAGTGGGGAGAAGTGCGCGTCCTGGGAGGGGCCTGACCGCCCCTGAAGCCCTTGATAGCAGTGCCTCCGGCAGCTCCCCCAGCCTCAGACGGCCTTCCCCAACCCTCCTGCCCCCGCCGCCCCCCAACCAGCCTGCTTCCCGGCTCTGCCAGGTGCCCAGGCCAGTAGACTTCCTCATCCGAAGCACTGGGTACCCCGTCCCTCACTGTAGGAGGCTCTGAGCCCTGGTCCCGAGCCTCAGGGCCAGGGGGCTGCCCAGGTGTCCCGAGCATCCCGTGGGTCACT